TCAAGCGTTTCAAAAATCAATAAATTTTCATAATAGCCACAAAACCAGATCAAAAACACAAAAAAATATATATAAAAAATCATTATTTTAACACGGCGCACGAACTTTTTCCTCAACCTAATATTGCTAGATATATTACAGGATATTGCTCAAGTTATCGATTATTAGACGACAATATGTTAAAGATACTAATTTATTTCTAAATACAAAATATCAGACAGATTCTGATTCAATAATAAAATATGATAAGATATTACCACCGAATCCGGACTATGTCAATGATGAAGTGAATAATTTATATGACTTACAGAAGGTACTAATCTAATGCTAGGCAAAATATTAAAATTACATAAAAATAACCGTTTATCATCGTCATTCGGTGCACATGAACGGCAACGAAGTGTATATGCTTTTATAAGCCAATTATAAACCATATTTATAAGTGAAAGTCGCTGGGGATTATCTTTGTTCTTATCTAGGCTTATTCGTCCGAGCGACATATTCGAGTCATACTGTTGTCTCTATATCGGATTCAGCTTAACGGTGTACTTTTAAGCAACGTTCTCCATGTTATCATTGGTCGAAAGTTGAAAGAAAGTATTTTTTATTTTTTAAAAAAACATTTTGAAAGCAAATCCATACTATTTAGCATAGTTTATTTAAAAGTAAAAAGAGATATATAGAAACTCGAATATTAAAATTTTATTGATTTGTTAGACAGAGAGTCATAAAACAAGAAATATGATATTGTACGTACTTGTATAAAAATTTTTTGTCTGATCTTAATAGAATGTATACATCATTATCTTTGTTATCGTTATTGAAAAAGAAGTGTGATTTATTCTTCTAAATACCGTTTTGTATTTGGCATGTGGAGGTGCACTTTTTCATAATCACGATCATTTTTTAAACGTAATTCTAATAGACGTTTTAATTCTTGGTCAAATGTTTGTAATAGCTCAGGTGATGAAGCCATATGACGTATACTATCAGAATCTGGTAATTGTGAATGGGTATTCGATGAGTGAGAGGCACGAATCAGTATATTATTTAATAAATTTGTTGATGTTAAATCTTCACGGATATATACACGTCGTCGTTTTGTAGGTATACCATCTTTGTAAGCATCGCTGAGTGGTGATTGAGGATGAGTATGATTTTGAGTGACAACATCACGAACAACGATTGGCACCCACTCCTAAAAGAAATAATATAAATAAACATAAACATTAGAAATCCATTCTATCTTGTTCGACTTACTTCTGGTAAACTCGCTTGCCATGTGTTATTTTCTTGACCTGTTCTCGTTGTTAATTGTTGTTGTCTTCCATTATCCGTCTTATTTACAATCGTTGATGTTTGTGGTGATGAATTAACTCTGGTTGACATAGTATACATCCCTCCATTGTTAGTAGCCGAGGAAATTGCTGATTCAGTAAGATAAGATGAAATATTAGAAGGTGATGAACGTATGCCAGAAAAGGCATGTGTTAAAGCTCTACGTAAATAAGTTTCACTCCATGTCAGAATTATTGGGTTCGTTGTACGAAATATAGTGCGCTGTAAAAGAAGAAATTAAAAAATATTTTAACATTGTTTGTAACAAATCGAGATACATACATTACGATTTAACAGATATTCAATAGCTGCTGGTTCACCATCTACGAAACAATGTGATGTTAATGATAGATATTCATTGCGTGCAGAGATTAATTGTTGGCGAAAATGATCAAACCACACGTTATCATCTGAAATAATAAAACAAGTAATAGTCTTACGTTTAATACCAAATGTCTGATTACCATCGTGGAATATTGTATTGAGAATAAGACGTCCATGATGCATAAAAAAACGTTTCATCACATTTTCCAAATTTATATTTGGTTTTAGGCGAAGTTCGTTCTGTAAAACAGAGAGTAAAATTAAAAGTAAGCTTAATCATCAATACTTTTGTTTACTTAATAATTACGAGTGAGGTTTCTTGAATGAAGGGTTGATACAATTTCTCACATAATTCATCGATTGTCATGGGTGTTATCGGTCTTCCATGTAATACATTATTTCTTAAAATCGAAAGAAAGTTGTAGTGTAACGGTGTCGATCCCTTTCTAATGTTACATACTGTAAATAACTGGTAGCTGATCGTCTGGCTTGGTTGAATCTTGAATCAACTATTGGATTGCCTAGTATAAGATCCCAAACATCAGAAAATCTCATTTGTGCTGTCATGACAGAAAATAGTTCACGAATTAAACATGTCTCTAGATAAAACAAAAATTATCCTTTAGACTCCGTGGTTCAACACACAACTCCAAAATATACGTACTAATTATCGAGAGGAATATGTCTAATACTTACCATTACTATTGCCTGAGTCAAAATCTTCTCCAAAACGTTGCATAAATGCTCCAATCGTTAGATTGTTCAATTCAGGATTTTCAGGACCACTGCCTAATAATCTCAACAATTCTAAATGATGCACAGTTTTTTGAGCAAATAAAAGGTATTTAAGAATGAAAACATGTAAATACAAGTAAAAACCGAGAGCTTACCAATCAACATTTGTCCTGTGTTTGTATCTTCTCGACTTAAAGTTATTGTCGTCGTAGATGAAGATGTGTTTGTTGGTGTTGTTGATGAAGCAGATGTGGTTGAGGAGGTTAAAGGGGTAGCTATGGATGAGCGGTCTGTTGGATTTAGTGAGTCAAATGTGGCTCCAGTCAACGTTAATTCTTGAACGATGCTTCCAATTGTTCGCGCAACGCCAGTAAAATCAAGACCCATCGGATTTTGAGTTACATTCATTGCTGCACTTGGATTTGCGTTTGTTTCAGATACTGGTATGGATGTAGAAGATTCATGTGCTGTTGTGTTCACAGCTGGAATTGAATTTGCATTATTGGTAACAAGTATCGGTGTTGGCACTTCATTTGCATTCATTTGACCTACATTCACTAAAGCAAAAGGTTTAGATTTCTATTACTAATAGAAAAAGTAATCTAACTGTAAATAACACTTAAACGCGAAGATCAATATGTTATTTGAAAAATACTCATTTCCTTTGAGATGAAAGCTCTTGTATTTTTCAAATAACATATTGATATTCTCGTTTAAATATTATTTATATGTGTAAATCTTCTTTCTAACTTACATCTTATACGACCAGTTCCACTTCTCAAAACACCAGGTAATATTTGTGATAAAACTTGGGATAAAATTGTATTCTAAATAAGAAAAGCTTTAGACATGAACACTTGACTAGCTGTTCCAAAAATGTACTTTTACCTGTACTTGTTGTGCTTCTGCATTTTGTTGATTGTTCGTTGGTTGTACCGGTGTTTGTTGATTATCTGGCCAAGACGATGCCGCTGAGGATTGTTCCTGTGGTGATGGTTGTGGTTGTGATTGCTGAGAAATATCTGTTGATGCTGAGATAACCATTGGAATTTCAAATGAGTGTGCTGTCATAAATGATTGTCCATTATTTGGGGAAAATAATGGTACTCCTGAGGGAGGCATACCACCTGAAGACATAATAAAATCATTAGGCGTATCGGACGAGAACTGTGAGTGTTGTTGTGGGTGATGTTGATGAATAAATGCGCCTTGACCAGCTGGATGACGATGTCTTCCGCGACGAGTAAAAACATGATGGCCTCTTTCGTGTCCAAAAACTTCATTACCTGCTGTGCGAGAACGTATCATATGAGTGAAATAGCGTGAAGAACATGGTAGAGAACGATCAACGCTTTCTATAAATAAGAATAAAATAAACTATTAATCCAATCACAAAATAAGTAAATACTAACGTAGAATTGTTGTTCGTTGTCCAGGAATCATTAATCTACCTTGAAGTGGATGGTCATGACCACTCGCCATGGCGAACATTGTTGCTGGATGTGATGGATCGTCTGTAGGTGGCTGAGATATTGAACTAGAGGAACTAGTAGATGGACTCGCATCAGCTGATCTTGAGCGAAATGAATGATCGTCAAGAACAAAATGTTCATCTTGAGGATTCATATTAACAACTCCGTTTGGCATAACAAATCTTGCATGAATAGGCATGTGTGGATTCCTTGCTGATATACCTACAGGAAGATACGATGATAGATTATTGTTATTTGATGGTAATTGTGTTGAAAACGATACATTCGTTGGACCACTTGCAACATCTACTGCTCCCGTTGGTCGACTCAGTTGAGCAAAGTGTTCTAGTGTTCAAAGAATAAAGATTACACACAGGTATTAATTTAATGCTTGCTCATATCAGCATCAATACCTTGTACACGTTGTGCAATTGAGGCAGCAAAATTAGCATCAAACGGTCCCTCATTCATTTGTATAGATCCAGGTTGTCCATTTGCATTAGCTGGAAAAAACACAAATCCAGGCGTTTTGGTAATACAGATCTACAACCGTTCTTTAATTTCTTTAGTCTAGTCTCTTACCTGGTCTTTGACCCATAATCACAGTTGCATTTGGTGGTAAACTGCTGAGATCCACCGGTAAGCCAGAAAGATTTTGTATTCCTGCTGGCACCGATGACGCTCCATCGGATGCTTGAACATCAGCAACTATTTGAGCAGACACTTGATTTAGTGTGATGCCAGCCGGAACCATTTCTACGAATGTCCATGGAACACCAAGATTGAACGCCATCGGCTGCATGTTCGACATCGATGATGAGGTGGCAGACGTTGACGACGCGGTTGATGACTGTTCAGTATTATTTAACGTCTTTAAGAAGGAAAACTTTCTGATTATAAGAAAATAACAAATGAACAAACAAGTGCTGACACATACCATGCCAGGCACCAATGGACGAAGAACCATAGGCGCAGGATGGAAGGGCACTACACCTTGTGCCATTCGTGGATGAAATCCCATTTGTGCTGCTCCAGAAAGAGAGACTGGACCCATAATTCGTGCCGTTGTAACAGCTGCAGGCTGTTGAAAAACAGAAAAGTACATTAAGTGTTTGAAAAGACCTGTAGCTTCCTTGAACAAACTCTTCTGATAGTGGAAACTGGAACTCGTGGAGCTGATGGAATATTTTGATCTGCAAGCAAACTAGCACTTTGAACTGGACCCGTCATACTTGATGGCGCTAAACTCGTCGGTTCTCCGAGATGAACGTCACGGGTTTCTAAGGGTTGCTCCAAATTGATACTGAAATCAGTTACATTATGATAGACATGAGAAATTAAATGTAGCGATTCATTGTACAACGAATAAAAACGTCGTCGACCGGCTAAATCATCACCCTCAACATAAAGGACAGATTTAAAGTTAATAGACCAAAAAGACACAAGACTAACAATTTTCAACTTACAAACGATTCATTATGTGATATTGTTCGCATATATTCTTGAAAATACTTATTCAAACGTCGTTGTTCAGAATCAATGGAATGCATTAGGTCTGCTAAATCTCGAGCAGTATGACTAAAGTCATAAAATTATTATCGATCTTCAGAAATAGCCTTGAAATCTTCACTGACTTAGTTACTGGTGCTGAAGATTCATTTGGCGCTGTTGTTGACTGTACAATTGTCTGCAATGTCGACGCTTGAAGATCATCTGCATCCATCTCGTTTATGATATCTTCAAACGTTGCAGATGATGAAGCTGATGAGTCTACATCCCCCGTTTGATTTTGTTGCCCAGTGTTTCCTGCTGTTGATGTTGGCAAACGAAAATTTGATTCGACTAATTGCTATAAATAAAAATTTTCCTAACGAACGAATACAGTAGAAGAAAAAGAAAACAAACTCCGCACCTCAAGTCGATTAAGTCGTAAACGTAAACGAGATAACATACGTCCAATAGAACGAAACCGTTCACGTAACTCATGTTGTTGTAAATATTGTGAGACACTGCCAAAATCAATTTGAATATCAACACCTTGACCATCAGACTAAAATGAGCAGAGAAGAAAAATCACATAATATATTAATTGATTGATATAAAAAATAGCCAACTCACAGCTATCGATGTGTTGACACGAGCTTGTCGTCCAATATCGCCAAGATCATTCAACAAATTTTGAACTAGATCCTGTATAAATGAAATAACAAGGATAAACATATATATGCTATCTAACGAGATATATAACAATGGATCAATTTTTACTAAATAATGTATTTTTAAAAAGTGACATATACTTGAACATTATTCGTGTTCAAATTGACGGCTCCTGGAAATGAATTGATAAATACACTAGTTGTTTCATTGATTTCATCCAACGTTAACTGATTCGTATTGATATCAGATGCTACACCAGAAGACCCATTGTTAGTGTTTTGTGACGGAGGTGGTTCAGCACGTTCGACAAAATGAACAGTTTTATTCTGAATGTCTGAAGAAAAAACCTGTAATTAAATTCGAAATTAAAAGAGACCATAGTTTCAACTTACTGCTATCAGCAAGTTTTGTTTCATCTTGTAAAACTTTTCCTTGAAATATCAGCCGTTGGCGTTCGACCGGTATATTCTAGAAAAAAGCAGCCGCTGTGTGAATAAATACGCATGTAAATGAATTAATTACTTACTAATTCATTACGTAAACGTTCTTTAAATTGTTGAACAGTTTCCTACAATATAAAATTAAAAAAAAAAACATAATATAGAACACAACACTACTTATCGATTGATTACCGATTGTTCAACTTCATATTTCCGTGAATCACCGCTCAAAAATTTTAAGGTAAATTCTAGCATGTTACAATATATATATTGATCTAAAATATAATCAATACTGGTACCATACATCTCCAACAGAAGGAACATCCTTTCAAATTTGTCGTTTTAATTAAACTAGCACACAAAATAATCACCATACTGTTAACGATTTTATCTTTTAACTGGTTATAGAGAAAATACATGACGGTGTCTGATCTGGCTTAACGTGCTAAAATATCTCCACAAAAAAAGTTGACATATGAGATTCCCGAACAAGATAAATAAATACGTTTTACTTCAACTCTTTGTTTTATTCGTTGTATTCATAGGGAACTTTTATCGAAATATCACAACGTCGAGATCATGCAATATATATCCATAGTCCATTTTAAGACTTTCACTCGTGATCACGTTTGAAAAATATGAGGAGAAAAAGTTTCGTGGACATTTCACGGCTTCTCAAAGGTGAAAAATTTGTTCACACATGTTCACACACTATTTCACGATCTTTATGTGTCCACATTATATTTCACAATTGTACTGTTAAAATTTTCCTATGAGTAGTATAACAACGAAAGGGAACAATGACAAAGCTATAGTATTATTATTGTATGATTATATCAGAAGCCCACGGCAGCGAATTAAAAAAATGCTTTAGGATGCGCTGACTAATATAAACTAGTAGTGATCATTCCATGGATTTTAACTATATGAACTGTGTATATATAAAATTGACTTAATTGCATAATTGCTTTTTGTCCTATAACAAATCAGTTACAAACAATGATAAATCAGAAATTGATGAAATATTTAAACTTAATAATGATGAAGAGTATGAATTTATATAACAATGATCTAGAAGTTTTTCAACAACGTTAGGAGTAAATTTCTCAATACAAATTAATGTTAATGTAACTTTATGAAACATATCTTGAGAGATAGAAGTGTTTAGAATTGAATAAAATGAACTTATTACATTCTAGTTTATTTAAAATAATCATCAATTATTTTTGAGAACTGGTGATGAGCAAATGTTATAGAAGTAAGTAAGAATTAATTTTGATTAGAAAAGTACTGAAAAGACTGAAATCAATGCTGATATTTATAACCAGAATTTTAATAGATAAGTACCAACCGCATAACTATCTGAGAGAAATTCTAGACTTCAGTTTCAACATGAGCACATGCTCTTAATATTTGTCACCTCGTAAACTGAAATGTTGTTTTGATGATATCCCTTGAATAGAGATGTGCAAAGCAACTGATTTTTGTGCCTTGTCATGTAAAAATCTCCGTGGTCTGGGACCTGTCCTTTACGAAATTTTCTCGCGTCGTGTTTTGCTTTTCAGTGTGGGATGTAAGTTATTCGATTCTACTAGAAACACATATATAAAAATTATATTTCATATCCGAAACTTCATAATAATAAAATAACATCATCGACTTTTCTCTAGCAATAAGTCTTGTGCTTTCCTGATCGTTTGCAAAATAATTGCCTGTAGAAAGATTTATGCTGCTCTGTCCTGCTCATATACACTTTATGACCTAGTTCTGCGGCAGAGTAAGGTCCACCTGCATATCTCTACTCTTGAACACATAGTCGATTAAGGAACATAGTATATGATCGACAACGCACCAGTAAGGATTCCACACCGATTATTTCAAAACGATGCTAAACTGCTTAATGATAATGCAAAATGGACGCTGAACTAGGAGTAAAAGAAAGCACCAATTAAATTTACAAGAAACCAAATTGAGATGATATGAGCTAAATTGTGTCTTAATCTGTTATTAATTCGTGCCCAGGTCGGGCCGTACGCGCACATTACGCTCTGTATACAACGTACACATCACGTGCGTCATGCATATCATGCGTACAATGCGCACCATGTACCATTTTTAGAGGTTTATCATAGATCTCAGATAAACATGTTACTATGGAACTGTAGAGAAATGAAATCAGGTTACGCTCGGTACGCGCACGGGCGTAGCGCTCTACCCCGGTATATAATAATGATCCAAGTACTTACTTGTCAAACGTTGAATGGCAGTTCCAAATATAATCAAAAGAATAACTTAATAGTATGTCAAGAATTTATCTCGTAGAAAAGTTTTGAAATCATATTCAATTTTAACATAGTGAGAAATAGAAAACGGACACCTGTCTATAATGATCTGATCTTCCTTATATGTTGAGAAAACAAGTTTTATGTCATCGGAGAAGTCGACTAATTTCTCTCATCAGAGTAACCAGAAGCAAATTCATCGAGAAAAAAGAATACGACATCAATCGCACATTTTGTTTTTGATCTGCGACGGGAGCGAGAATGCATTTTGAAATAATGTTTTTTTCTATCAATAGTGAGATCTCAACTATATTCTCAAACTTGAAGAAATATTTAGTAATAGTACAAGTCGCTAAAATTTTAATATTTAAGTCTGTTTTCTGTAAGTTCGTAACGCTCATTATTTCTTTTACCAAACATGAGATGATTCATCAAAATCAAAAATTTTCTGGTGATGGATAGAGCTGATAGAACTCTATAATAAATACGCAGAATGATCGGCACAGCCTTAATGATTACCTAGAAAAACGTGACTATATGAAATAAGATATAAGTTTGTTACGCTCGGACAAGCCGAATTTGAACTCAAACGAGTGTTATGTACCAGCTGTTTGCCAGTACACATCAGTATACATGTTCCAGAAGGAAAAAAATTCTCCTATATTTTACCGTTCAACGAGAGAAAATCTAGCGCTAAACAGTTTCAAATAGAGTTTGAGAAAGAATACAGTTTTAAACAGTTATCATATTGAATAATTTCTTGTTTCTGTCATGCATCAATTATTCATAGATAAGAGATGAACTAATCTTTCGTTATTTTATTGTTTCGTCAAAAAAACGCCATATGCAAAATATATAAAATGTGGCCTTTATTTATGTAGATTTTTTTGACAACGTATAACAAGCGACAAACTTTGTGCTATTGTAAGTTAAGTCATCTAGAAAAGATAAGTAGTCGAGAATTTTCCTTCTAACAATCGCAACTGTCAATAACGCTTTTCAAGCCAAAAAAAAGCTCACAATTATGTGATTATAGATATAATAGATCTTGGGAAGAAAAATAATTAACGTAGACATTTAGTATCTTGGTTGTATGTGATCAAATCAATATCCAAGTGGGTTGTAAAATGTACGCGTGTTCCTAACATTTCTTGCACATGCAAAACAAAAGCGCGAGAATTAGTATATTCAGAATATGTACACTTTTGTTTGAAGAAACATGGATAAAGTGGGTATTTGGAAACAATTTTTAGTGGAGGTTTCTTTGTCAACTATCATTGGACAATCATTATTCAGTCGTTAAATCACTAACCAAAAGCATAGCAACATCGTTGGTTACCTGTCTGAACTGTCTTTTTCACCGATCGTTTCTGAAGAACAGATCGGAGAAAGAACAACTGCTCACTATAATTACATAACTATTCTTGGTACCATGAAATTCTAGTGCTATCTTGAATGATGAATGAATGATTATAGCTTTTTCATTACAAAATTAAAATTGTTTTCACTTTTAGATGACTTGTTATGAATCAAATATGAGTGCATTATCATTATTATATAGTTGTGATGATCAATCATCTAATGATGACAATAATGATCGAATATCTGGTGATGATGATGACGGTTACAATCAACAAGAACAGCGATCACTAGGTGATGATGCCGATATCGATACATCGTTTAATTCTCAACATAGTGTAAATGAAATGAAAGTAAAAGCTGTTGCAAGTGTCTACGATGAATTAAATATTATAAGACAAAAATTACATGCAGAAAATGAACGATTGAAAAAGAAAGCATTTGAATTAGACGAATGGGAAAAACGCGTAAAACTTTGTATTAAAACAGAAATTGATAAACGTTTATTAGTACAAAAAGAAAAATATGAGAATGAACTGATTCAATATAAAGAACAATTAACAAAATTGATAAAAGATAACAAACGTTTAAATGATACATTGCAAGTATTACGTGAAAGTAATGAACAACTTAAAAAAAAATTGTATGAAACAGAAGAGATTAATGAAAAATTAAAAATACAAATTAAACAGACAGAAAAAAGATCAGAAAATTTATTAAGATTAAATGATATAAATGAACAAAAAGTAAAAGATTTGGAAAAAGTATCACTTAACAGTTATAATGAAAAATTATTGACAATAAAAAAATCACAAAATTTAAACGAATGTTCGAAATCTACTGATACAAATCAATCGTGCTGCAGAAATACATCGATTGGAGAATTTTGTTTAGAGCATAATACATCATCAAAACAAATATCTCCTATTAACAGTAAATATAATTAATTTTTTTGTAATCTAGAGCAATTTTCATCATCAAAAATATAATTTTTTTTAAAAAAAAAATTTCTCTATTTTTAGATGCTTCATCATCAAAAACATCATCAATTGCCTCTGTTGATTGTTTAAATTTTTTATTTAATTGGTTATGTGAAATAACTCAATTGGCCATGTCAAATGAATGGCCTCTCACATCATCTTCAAATGAATTAATTCCATCTAATATAGAAAAATATTCAAAACTTTTATCACTTCTAGCTGATCAATCAAATTATTATATAAATAATTCTAAATTAACATTAACTTATTTAAAATTAACTTACTTATCATTAATTTATGTTGAATGTCCAACAAATACAACTACAAGACATTTATATTCTTGTTCTTATAGACGAATATGTGAACAAATATTAAAACCAAATCAATTAAAACATTCAAAAATAACAGCAACAGATAATGATCAGGTATTAATTAATATATTAAACAAAGTAAGCATAATATTATTCATTTAGTATTTTTCTCTGTTTTTAGGGTCATTCTAAATCCCCTTGTTTATTTAATGATAATGAACCGTTAATTCGTCTCTATTCTTGTTTAATTGTTTTATTAACGTGTAATAAAATAATTGATTTAATATCGTGTTATAATCAAATTCGTTCAGATATGAATGATGTATGGTATATTGATTTATTTGTATCGAATCATGGTCATATAGCTCTCTATAGATGGTTAAAACCTCCCTCACACCATCGACGACTTATATTTGATACAATTGATTTATTATTATTATTATGTACAGATACAAAATCATTAAAAATATTTTTAAAACAATTGAGTAATGATACATGGTTTCATCTTTTTTCTCAATTAGCTCAACAATGTCAAAATAGTCATGGAACAACTGCTACATCTTTTGATTTAAAAACAATTGAAAAATTAGCAATTTTATTTGAAAAATTATCCGAATTAGATGATAATAAACGTTATTTTTTAAAATATAATTTTATTTATATATTCAAAGAATGGAAACAAAAATATATTAATGATAGTCCATTTTTAGTATTAAATTTAAAATCAACACTATTAAATCTTGAACAAGGAGATAAATAAATATTGTGATCTTTTCGTTTTTTTGTAGTCTATTTTTCAATTTTTGATAAAAAAATTCTTGTTTTTTTATAATTATAGTTTTAATTAGTAGATTATAGTTAGAACATTATGTTATGCTTTTCTCCCTCTCTCGTTTTATGCTAAAAAAATTCAATTTAATATAATTCATTAGTTTTACTGAGCAATTTCAGTAGTTCAAAATAGTTGTTTATTTTACATTAGCTAAATTTTGACTAGAATGATGTTGATTTTTGCCTTTTTTTTGTTCTCCACCAAAAAAAATAAGTTTATATGAGAAAAGTCTACAGTGTTGTTTAGATATGAAAAAAGAGTTATAGCTCTATGTCAACAGCAAATACATCTTGGAAAAGGTTCACAGGTCTAAATCCTGTTGATATTGATCAATATGACGAAGAACATGTTGATGAATTGTGTAACCAATTTTCACAAGTATGTATTTATTTTATTGACTATGAAATGGATACTTATTTGATTTTATTTAGATCAATCCAGAAGATATCAATAATATTAATGAATTAAGACATGGTTTTCGTTTAGGACAAAAATTTATTTCTGTAAATAAGTTTTAGTGTCTGTTAAAAATGTATTTTTGTTCATATTTCTTGATATTTTAGCTTTTCAAAAGTCTAAAAGAAAATGCTTATCGATCGTTGATTGAAATTATCGATCAAAGTAAATTATTTTTAGCCATCTCTTTTTTAATGCACATTATTTTAGTATTATTGATTTAGATAAGAGATTGGACACGTTACAGGGTGTAAATATTTTTTTGGTTTATTGTTGTTAATTTTCTACTTTAATCATTAAATTGGACTTTATAGGGTTCCACTGCAGATCAGCAGTTTAATACTAATGAAATTAACCGACTACGTGATGAGCTGGATATGCATCGAACAAAACATGATAGTGTTCTTCACGACTGTGAACAAGTATAATTTTTAGTTTATTTTATGTTTAATTATTATTTTATGTTTTTATTTCAGCTTCGTAGTGATTTAGGTGCAAGAGACCAACTTATTCAAGAATTAAAAAATGAGGTAGAATTTGAGAAATTTTATATGTAATGTTAAAAACAGTTGGTTACTATTGATTTAGAGAATGACTGTTCAAAAATTAAACGAAGATTTGTCCAAACGTAATAAAGAACTTAGAAATCAGTTGACAAGACCTGAGGAAAAACAGAAGATAGGAAAATTACAGGAATATGAAAAAGAATTAGACGATCTATTAACAGAGAATTTGGTACGTTGAAACATTTCTATTTATATAAGTGAACAGTACTCTTTTTATCATTTAGCAAATACACGATGATAATGAAAAATTAAAAGTTAAATTAACTGATTTAAATCGTGAATTGGCTGAGGCAACAAAATATATCAATAGTTTGTCAGATGAACATACAAAATCTAAGGTAAGAAATAACAAGATTATTTTTTGTATAAAGCATTATGTTTTTATTTTGTTTTTTGTAATCTAGCTTCTATTAAATAAAAAAGATCAAGAGAATTTAGATTTAATAAATGAAGTGAATTTACTCAAATCACAAGTACAAGATGATCGTAGTGACGATGATGATATCGTAATGAGAGCTGTTGAGGATAAAGTTAAACAATGGACAGTAAGTAGTGATAATCATATCAGTAATATTATACTAAAGTAAACCTGTTCCTTTAGGAAGCATTTAAAGTAAAAGATGAAGAAATTGCTCATCTACAACGTGTAAATCTTGAACAATACAATAAATTACAGTTACTATCTCGAAGTGGTGAAGAAATTGACATTGGAAATCTGAATAAGGTTTTATTTCTATTAACAAAATGCATTGATCTTTGATAAATAATTTTCTTTTACTTTTTGCTTTTATTCTAGTCTTTAATAGAAAAAGATAAACAAATTTTGATATTGAAAAAAAATCTTGAAGAAGCAATGATGAATTTAGAGAAACAAACACAAGTTATGGAAAAACTACAACATGGATTAATGAGTATATAAGAGATTTTCAAAGTGAAACTTACTTTATATAGGATATCATATTTAGCTTCTAACGATCCGAAAGCCATACGTAGTCAACAATATGATAATGAACGATTAAAAAAACAAATTCGAGATTATGAAAGAGCATTAACTGAGAAAGATCGTCAATTGCATGATACATCAAAGCGTTTACAAGAAGTTTATGATAAATATGAATTACGCGATGCTGTACAAGAAATAAAACAATTAAAAGAACAAATAAAATTAAAAGACAGACAAATGGAAGAATTGTCACAGATTGCATCAAAAAATGAATTGATTATGCATGAAGTGAGCGATGAAAATGAAGAATTGAGAGCAAAATTGGGAATGGATCCTAGAAAACCATTAAATTTGGAACAAATGAATGTAGCTAGATTAACAAGAGCAGAACAAAATCAAGCTGTTATTCAAATATTACAGACGGAGGTACATCTAAATACTGAATTATATGAGAAAATAATTAATGATCAATTTGTATTTTTAGATTGAACGTTTAGAAGAAGAACGTTTGAAACTAAAACAAAATTGTCGTCAATTAGCTAAACAGGCTGGTATACGTACTGCTGAATTAGGCATGAAAGATGGTTCATTATGGATAGATGAACATGGAATTGTTAAAACAAATGAAGGAGCAGTAGATGATATTATACGTACTGTTCGAAATGATTATGAACAACAGATGAAACAATTAGATGATGATAATAATCAATTAAAAAAAGATCTTAGTGATAAAACAACTGAAAATAAAGCATTATACATCGAAATTAATGGTCTCGAACAAGGTTTACGAGAAATTGATCAACAATTAAAACAGAAAAAAATTCAACGAAAACCTGGTAATGATGTGTATACTATTGAATGTCCATCATTAGAAAAAATGCTTGAAGTAGGTCTTGTTTCATTTTTCTATACGTATAACAAACTCTTACTGTTATTGTTCAGTTACTTGAAACTCAATCATTAGTTGGTCGATATGATGCAGCATTATTAATGAAAGGTAAAAATGATAATTTATTTGGAAGAAATGCTGAATTAAAAAATGAATTATACAACTCGAGACAAGAAACAATAAAATCAAATATTAATTTAAAAATACTTACAGAAAAAGTATGTATTGAATGATTAGTTTCAATTGATATTCAAAGTGTTTATATTATTTTAGTATGAGAAGCTTCAACGTGATTTCAAATTGTTAGAAGATAATGGTGTTCCCCCGTTGACATTTCAACCATTGATATTACCTGATAGTTTATCACATTCAAGTAGAGATATTATATCGTGTTTAAATGAATATTTGGTGAATGCTTTGGCTGTACGTACGAAAAAGAACTCGATTATAAAACATTTTTAATAAAATAAAATAAAATATTTTTATTCAGGAATTAAGTGCACAACGAGAAATGAATAAAGAATTAGAGGATGGATTAGATAAATATCGGCGAAAATTAAATGTAATTAAACATCAAATGGGATTGTTATACAAAGATTTTACCGATAGACAAAATCAATGGAATATTGAACGTGATGAAGAAAACGAAAAGAAAAATGATTTACAAACAGAAATTGAAAAAAATATTGTTAAATTTCAAGAATTTGATGTAAATATACTAGTAGTTAGCTTATATCAAATCTTACTTTTCTTTGTTTTTTAGCGTTTACTAGACACGTTAGAACAAGATGATATGGAAGTCAGACGTCGTCTCGCTGAACTCACACGAAAAATAACGGTATCAAGAGTTAATGAAAAGTCATTAGGACGCAAAATATTGTCTTACCAAGACATTGAAGGAAAATTGAGAAAGGTAGATATTACTAAGAGATTATTGTTGAAATTTGATATAAATTTAAAAAAATTTGTAATAGGAAAATACTAAACTTCGTATGGAAATTATTGACATGGAAGTAGCTGTTCAAACACGTCTCGGCTATTTACAACGTTACAAGGATACAGCTGCATATCGAATCAAAACTTTACAGAAACAAATCGAAGAAAGTGTACATCAAACAGAATTAGATAAAGTTAATAAAAAATATGAAGATGTTGTGGAAAAATATCGAGATTTATTAGAAAAACAGCATACATATGTTCAACAAACAGAACAATCGAATATATTAAATGTATGTAGGAAAAATTTGACTAGTATTTTTAACTTTCCAATTGTGTCAATGTTCTTGCATATTATTGTTAGTCATTCTTAATTGATGCATATTTCATTAGGAAGATAAACGACGTTTACAAGATGAAGTTGAATTTTTAAAACGACAATTAGAAATGGATAAAGAAAAAATGCATCGTTTAGATATAACAGTGGAAAATTTGCAAAATCAAATACTTATCAATGCAGGTAATTTTTAACATATCAGAAGTTGAAGTTCATTCACATTATTTGATTGTTTAGGTGATGTAACTACTGGCTCATCTATAACTAATTTTGATCTAGATAATTTATCAAGAAAAATAACTATAATTGAAATGAAAGAGTTAAATGAACGACAACGTGCAGAATATGCACAAAAATTGTATGATGAACAACGTCTAGTTTTACGACAATTAGAAAATCGAAATATTGAATTGGAAACGAATTTCAATGATTTAAAAAAAGTAAATTTTGAAATGGAAAAAACTGAACGAACACTGAGAGATGATTTATCGAATGCTATTTCAAAAACGGTCAACGATGCTAATCAACGGTAGTTGAAACGCATGCTATTCAAAATTTATCGTTGATCAACGAGAGTTACTTCTTTTTTAGACGGATAGTTGATTTGGAGAATGTTGAAATTCAACACAAACAAGAAATTGCTCGTTTACGTGAAATATCGGACATAGCTGCATATCAAATATCAGCGATTAATGAAATGAAAGTATTAGATGAAAAAGAAGTTCAGTCGTTACGTTTACAATTGATTGATTTACAATCACAATCAGATGAGAAAATAGAAATCGGTAAGGTATAAATTCGTTGTATCTAAAAGATTGTGTTAAGAGATAAAAAAAATATTTTAGGCAAACTTCATCGTCATATTTTATCATTACAAATAAGTGAAGCAACATGCAAACGTAAACAATTGCAATCAGCTAATGAATTAACTAAAACTAAAGCACAACTATTTTATATTGAACAAAAATTAGAAGAAAAAGAGCAAAGTTCATTTTTTATACGACAAGAATATAATCAAAGATTAAGATATTTAAGAACAGCAGTTCAGGTATATCTACAAATCATCATACAAATCATACATTATTATGTCTTTAAAAATTTCAATCTATTAATAGAATTATCGTCAAAAATTTACCGGTGCTGTACCACTTCGTCTGGAAGAATCGTACACTCGAACAATGATTGAATTAAGAAATGAAAAAAAACAACTCGATGTCGAATTGAAAAAGGTATTAACTGATTTTTTTAATTACTTGAACAATTGTTAACTATTTCGTTCTTTTTCTATTCAGATTACTGATAAAAAGTTTGATCTCGAGACGCAGGTAGCATCGTATGAAGTAAAACATAAATTATTAGACGAATTATTATCAACAATGAAAGATAATTCTTATCAACAAAAAGTGATTGAATGGCAGCAAAAACTGGAAAGGTCTAAATTAAATGAATTGAGACATATTCGATTGAATAAACGGCATGAAAAAGAGGTATGTGGTTATTAATTTTTTTATGTTATGAACTTACCAGTTAGTTTAATGTGACTTTTAAGGCCCCACCCCTCAGAAACCTGTTTTCTTCCAGGATCATTCCACCCTGATGTAAATTTCACACAATGTGGACTTTGAGGTAACTTAGTCATTCTACTAACTGCAGCCCTCTTATCACTTATTTTCCTAGAGTTATTCTTAAATTAGTGGTGAAAAAGTATGGTTTCGTACTTCCAAGATTCCGCCGCCATTTTTCGAGCTAGAAATTTTGGACTGGTTTCAAAAAATAGAGAAATGTTTTTTCTATGTCGTGGCGTCATTAGATTTTTCATTTTAAGTTTAGTTTAGGAGAAATTTAAAAAGTTTCCGAAAAGTTAGAGAGATTTTATTTACTGTTCGGAAACTTTTTAAATTTCTCCTAAATTAAACTTAAAATGAAAAATCCAATGACATCACGACATAGAAAAGACATTTCTCTATTTTTTGAAAACAATCCAAAATTTCTAGCTCGAAAAATAACGGAGATGATATCTTGGAAGTACGAAAAGCTATAGTCTCAAAAAGAGATTTTGAGAAAAACGTGAAACAAGTTTACGAAATGAAAAACGAAGAAAGAAAGAAATATAATAGTAGTTCATGATAGGCTTTTGCGTTTGCTGAGTCCAGTGAGCGTATGCAGAGACATGTGCGAGATATATTTTTGCATATGCAGTGATAGTTCAATAAAAAACTAATTTTCTTATTAAAAAGAATTAAGCAACTTTCAGAAAACCAGCTAAAAAACCATCAAAAGCCATTTTTCAAGGTATAAAAATTAGTGCGTTGTTGGAAAGAGGACACTTTGGGCTCTTCAACCATATATAAATCTCGAAATCAATTTTTTGGACAAAAATTTATTTTTCTGAGTCCTTAACATGCGTCTCTGATTATGTTCGTACAAGTAAAGAGAGTACACACATCAGTGAAAATGACAGAAACTAATAGACCATATCCTTGTTTCACACTTCAAATTTTCATCCAACTTTTTATTTGAATGATGACACTAATTTTAGAATTTACATTTGACAACAATAATTCACCAATTGGAACTAAATATCATTGATTTAGAAGGGCAAAATGTCAAATCTGAAAAAGTGAGTTTATACATTTTTTTATTTAGAAGAAATAATTCATTGTCTATTGTTTGTAGGAAATTGAAGAACGACAGATTTTATGGGAACAACGTGAACTGGAAATGGAACGAAAAATTGAAACATTGGAAAAACAACAAACCGATATAGCTGGTGCGGCAAGACGTGTAAGTAAATTATATAAAAGAATACGAAAAAAAAATATTTTTAATTAAAAATAAAATCTCTTGCTAGTTTGAAGAGGCAATTGGTCATTATCCCGATCCATCTTTATCTGTTGCACATCAATTAGAACAAGCATTATCCATTATTCGTGACAATATTCGACTATTAATGGAAACAAAAGTTCAACATCAGCAAAATCAAAAGGTCGGTCTATAAATATATATGATTATTTTTGAATCTTTGTTAAAATTTATAATTATTCTAGAAAATGGACGAAACTAATGAAAAAATGAAAGAAATGGAAAATTTAATATTTGCTCGAGATAAAGTTATTCATGAATTACGAATACGTTTACCAACAACGACTATACTAGATTCAGATAAATCAACATCGAATGGGATGACACGATCAGATGATTATTCACGTTTAACAGCTGTTCGAGCTGCACAAAGTACTATCGATAGTTTACAAGTAAAATTATTATTAAAAATATTTCTGAATACATTTTTATTTTTATTTTTCTTCATTAGACACGTATTTTACAAAAAGAGGAGAGTCTTAAAAAGTATCAAGAATTATTGAAAGAAGTAAGAGAAGATTTAGATAAACAAACGAGATATCATGAAGAAGAAATTCAATTATTAAATGAAGAATTACAAAATAAACGAGATATTGATTTTCTTAAATTAAAAAAATATATAACTCAAAGCGGAAATCCAACGTCATTTCATGGTACACCTACAACAGGCGAAGTGAGTAATTAACTATATTAGCATAAAATTGACTGACTATAGAATGTGTCGATGTACGAGATAATTACATCAACAGTGTAACAAATATTCGATATTCATTTTTCAATTATTTAACAATAAATATTGATCATTTATGTTATTTAGCTTGCACAAGTACGAGTATTAGAAGAAAATATCGCCGCACAAGAAAATACAATTGCTCATTTAAATGAAAAAATACGAGAAGCAAGACGTGAAGCCGAGATATGGAAAGGACGTTTAACACAAAAAATGAATCAATTTAAACATGATAGAGAATTGTAAGTTGTTTGTAACTCATCATTCAATAATTTATGTCATTTTCTTATTTATTTTTTGTCATTTTTATATATTTTTTAGTTATAAATTATCGCATGAAAAAATTGTACATGAATTGAATCGTGAAATTGAACTATCAAAATCAAAACTGAATGAGCAAGAGAAAAGTATTCAACAATTTGTGACTGATTTTGATGGTCAACGTCAAACACATTTATCATCAAAAACATCAACAAATATTGACACATTAATTAAAAATTTAAAACAACAATTGACAGAAAAGGAAGAACAGCATAGATCATTAACACGTGCATTAGCTAGCATACGATCGGATATGGTTAAAATAGCCGAAGATAATTGTAAAGCGGTTAACGATGATCAAAAACTAAATTTAAACATACAAGCATTAATTGATGGAAAAACGTCACAATTACAAGTAGGTACTTGTAGAAAAAAGAGTATAATGTTGTCTATTTTATTTTAATTCAGGAAAAAATTGATGAATATGAAAAACAAATACAAAATTTAAAACAAGAATTAAAAGCGCAAAAAGATCTAGTACAACGAATGACGAATGAATCAAACGATGCCGGAGTGAAATTATGTAAGACATCAACGTTTTTTTCTTTGATTTTATTAGAAACGTTTTGTATTTTAGCACAAAATGAAAAGAAATTAAATAAACTTCAACAACATAATGAATCACTAAATAATAATGTACAACGACGTTCATCGCAACAACAAAAACAAGTAAGAAAGAAACGGAAATTTTCTACAATTTATAGTTTAATCGGTACAATGTTATGCTCTTATAGGACGATGAAACAATAGAATCTTTAAGACGTCAAATAAGACTACTAGAAGATAAACTACGAAAAACAAAGACAGCTGAACGTCCATATGATGAAACGAAAGTGAGTTGAGAAAAATTTAAATAATTCAATCAATACTAATGAATGGGTATTCATATTCTTTTTGTTTTTTCGGACGAGCAAACGAGACGTTTAGTTGAAACAAACGAAAAATTACTGCAACAGATCAATGATTTGGATACACATAAAAAAGAGTTGTTAAAATTTAATCAACAATTGAAAGATGAATTGACCAAGTATGAAGTACTTATAAATACAACATCTCTATTCGTTGACATTCAAATGAAGGAATAACTTTACACCTTCTTCAGATAGAAGTTTAGGATTCTTGAACTGTTAGCAGTTGAATTCAAACTTTTTGATTATACCGTATTTATGAAAAACACGCAGTAAATATAGTGAACTTCTATTGTCTATTTTTAGAGTGCGATTACGTATGGAAGAGTTACAAAAGTATTCTACATTTTTGAAAACAGAAAATGAAAATTTAAAAAATATTTCCAGTCCTCGTTCAACATCAAGTGGAAATGTTCGACGAGTAAATTAAAATTTATGATATAGTCGACAAAAATCTAAATAGAGAAATGTTCTTGACATACGTTTTAGATTGGCGAATCTGGTCGTTCAACAATCGAACTTGAAAAAATAATTTCGTTAATGAAGAAAAAAGTTGATCAATTACAAGCTGAGAATCAAAATCTTCGATTAGATATTGAACGTCATCACGAACACGACTTTACTCTAGTATATGGATAGTCTAAAATTTCTTTTACTCTTTCCTAACTTTTATATTTCACAATTTTAGAATGATAAAAATCGTATGTTTTTTACTCGTGCAACTGAATCAACAAAAGAAATTGACCATATAGGAGAAATAAATTCGAAAGTATGTTTACACTCGAATGTTCTTATTTTTAAATCAGATATGACTATATTTGATATTTTTGTTTAGTTACAAAAAGAAGTAGCACTCTTACGTGAACAAATAGCACGATTACAAATGAATAATGTACCCCTTCCGCGTGCACATCCGAATGGAATCAAATAAAACTTTATTATTTTTTCTATCGTCAGATATATGTTTTTTCTCACAATTATTTCGTCCATTCATGCTGATTTTAACTATAGTTTATTGTTTGTTTATCTATATTTTTTTTTCTCAATAGAATGATGAATAAATTAATTTCTTTTGCAATAGTTTTGTTCAATCTTCTGAGTCATGTAGTTACATATGCTTTTTATTTTTTCTTCTTTATATTATCACTTATTCGTATATGAAAATAAGTAAATTTTTCTTATCGGATTTTTTGAAGGTAATAAACAAAATTTAGATGATCACGTCGAATAAGAATTAGCTATCTTCTATCCATGTCTCTGTACGAGACTCTATGATGATAGTAGTTTCACATGTGGCTCAATCTTAAAGAGCAAATGATGCTATTAAGCTTGATCTTTTCTAAGACTACACATATATCGTTGTTTGTAGATGTCTATGCAATTAGTACAAGTAACTTTTCCTACAGAAAATATACGTCAGCAACTTTCGTCTGTAAAAGCTTATCTTGAAGAAGATTATCTTGGTGAAGGGACGTTGTGTATAGCCGAAAGGTAAAATTCATTGATATAATGTCAGTTTTTGTTTCCATATTCAAAAACTTTATGTTTCTTTATAGTCAATTAGTATGGGCCAAACCTTCCGGTGATGGTTTCTCAATTGAGTATCCATCATTGACAATGCATGGCATTGTTTCATACGATCCAAAATATCCAAACGAACATCTAGTTGTTATGGTTGAAAAACCCAAAGATGATGAAGTAATAACAAATAATCGTAAGTGATATGATTGTTGATGTTGGTGTTAAGGGGGGGTCCCCCCTTTTAGATTTTCCGCTAGCGTTCCCAGTTTGTAGAGGATACTTCGAAGTATATGTTCTGAAGTTTTCTCAGCTTACTTACATTATTTAGCTGAGAAAAAAATTAATTACTTAAAAAAATGTTGTTAAATTTTTGAGCACGGGGTTATTATTACAAAATTTTCTGTCTATTCTCCATTCATCATGAAAACTTAGTTCTTGCCTAGATCGATGGAGAAATGTGTGGAGAATATTTACGACGAGAAAATATGTCAAAATTTTTGTTCTTTCCTTCCGGTTATTGACTAATTAGTACTAATTAACGTTAATTTAGCCCACTCTACAAGTATAAAGTCTTATTTGTAAAACAGCAGCGCAACAAAAGAATTCAAGCAATACCTCATCTGACAGAGAATTTCACGGGCTACAATATAGTCTACCTTAAAAATTTTAGAATTCATTTTTGGTCGCTCGGTAAGTCTGATAAGTCCAAAATTTAACAATATTGTTTTAAATAAT